TCTTTCGTCGTCTTATTTGTTTATAGCTTTGTCTAGAAATTTCAATAATCAGCCCCCAGATTAGGTATGGTGCCATGCAGAGCACGTAAACCCAACACTCAAAAAAATGTGCTTTTCTAGCTCAAGCATGCTGATTCTTGAATTTTCCGCCAAAAATTTGTTTTATCTTGATTTAAGCTGAATTTTTCTGATACAAGAAAAATAATGATTAAGTTAAGCGAAAAAGCAGTTTAAATTAAGCAGCGAAATTCTTGATTTTAGAAAAAAATACTTCTTGGTGCGGCTTTAAGATTCTTTTTTTTTTTAGTGAAAAACGGCAACAACGTGGACAATCAATCAGTACTATTAAACCATCAAATAGCTAATGACGCTTCTCGAGGGTCTTGCAACGTGTCTAATTAGTTTGACGGGGCATCTCACCTGAGAACCTTCCTTCCGAGAAGGGCCAATTTGAATGTCGTTCACTCACATGCTCTCGCGGACCGAGATGCGATGGCGCGGCGCGGTTCTCAACAGCAACACACGCGGCGCACAATGGAGCGAGTTAAGAAGAGAGATCGGAAAAAACTTGGAAATTTAAAAGCTAATGACTCCTTTAAATCAAAACTTTGAGATGTTAAAAGTGGTTCCATTGGCTTCCTCGTGAAATTTTCTCCTAGATGCACCCCTCGAAATTTAAAATGTGACGAATTAAACATCAAAATTTGCAGTTGCAGTCAAAAATTTCATGTCTGACCTCTCTGATTGACTCAATCCACTGTGCGGCGTAGGGAAATGAGATGAAACAAGTGCTAACGTGGGAGATGGGATTATGTGTAACCGGGATAATCGGTCAACACCTGTTGCTAAGCATCACCTTAACCCGCACCCCCACGCCGCGCCGCACCCTGGCGCCCGACCGCCACCCTCGACAGAAACGAAAAAAGTGTTCCCCGATCTCCATTCATCGCGCTCCAGACTCTGATGCGACTGGTGGCAACAGGTACCCTCCCGATTCTCAGCGAGACGGGTTGGAGCGAAGAAATCAGAGCTCTGTTGTCGAATTGTCAGAATCTAGACTTAGTCTTATCGAAAAATGAAAAGTGGAAATGAGTCATTTAGACAGAGTTTATCAGAAAGGAATCAACCCACATTTTCGAAAAAAAAATTTTTATTTTAAAATTGAGTTAAGAATTTTTTCGAGTTCCACTAGTTGTTTATTTGCTCCTGCCAAAATCTGGAAGTCGATAAAAAGACATTCGTTTGTGAAGAGAGAGCTTAAAGTTTATTTTCTACATTGAACCTCATGCAGGAATAAAACTTCAAACCTCTTTTTCTCAATTTCAGCTAAATGTGGACTGGCTCCTTTCTGATAAGCTCGATCCTTATAGCCCTCACTGAATATTGAGAATGACGTCATCAACCACAACGGTGCAAACCATGGTTCCAGTCGAGCTAACAGCGCAAATATACGTATTACTAATTAGACTACATTTTGCAATTAGGAACTTCACTTTCTGGCTCAGTTAAGAAACAGCCTATGTAACATTATTACAAAAGTGTTTTTACGGAAAAGCCAGAAATTTTAGTTCCCAATTGCAAAATTAAGTCCAACTGATGAAACCCAAGCGGACAAGAGCATGGTATGCGCTGTACCGCGGTGGATGACATCATATACGCCGTGGAGATGTAGAGCAATATCTCGATTAAAAATGGACATAGAACGTGGATTATAGAACAGATTTTATCATTTTTTGCTGATATATATATAAGCGTGAGCTTAAACATTTGTGACCAGCGCAACTGACCCATTCATCCCCGTCATCAGATGTTGCTATAATCATGCTACTATCTTTCCTCCTGAAAGGACTTCAGTGGTCTGAGAGGAACCATTTTTCCACGAATTAAAAGCTGCGATGAACACTATTTTCAGACCGAAAAAAAAGAAAAAACCTCCCTCTGCTGGAGTTGATAAAATCTAAGAAAAAAAACGACGATTCTCATGGAATTATTCTGTCACATGCAACAATGGACAGGGGATGCTCCTCATGTTGTGTCTGGGAATATTCTCCCCCTCTTGGTCCTTGGAACCCTCGCCAAGCACATCTCGACCTGCTTCTTTCGGGGGTAGCAATGTAGTCGATTCAACCCTTAAATAAAGCCCTCTTCTCCAGACCCGTAGTCGCGGAACACCGATGCAGTCCACAGTTGACAATATCGGAGAAGTCGAATCCACGAGGCTGTCACATTTTTAGACCGGGAGTTACGAACCCTTATTTTTCTTCAGAAAGGGTGGTTTTTCTCGTGCGATGTGGCATCGGGTGGAGTAGGGGTGTAAACGCGAACGCACCTTCAGCTGCAGTGTTCTTTACACGGTGCATACAAAATAATATCCGTGCATCTCCGCAAGGGGTGTTGTGCATTTTTGGGGTTCTCACCAATTAAGGAGCCCTGTTAAATGTTCATTTAACAGAGACATAATCCCAGCCACCATTAGCAAGTGAAAGGATACCGCCGTGTTTGGGTCTCGTCGGTCCTGTGACTAGAGGGCGTGCTTTTCCGCGTGAGCTCTGCAGGCTGATTATTGGAATTGATAGACAGAGCTATAGACATAGAAGGCACAGGGAACACGGAGGAATCCTATTGGTTGAAGCGGGTGGTTGTTATAGCAGGGATCGATAGTCTTCCAGGATTTCAAAGAATTGCTAAATCGGAGTTGAGCACCTTTTAAGAAAAAGTGATGACATTCTTTTCTCTGTCCAAATCGCTATTTGTCACCAAAGCTCTCCAACAAAGATCCGATTTAATTATTTTTTTTTAGCCTGATACTGTACTAAACTAGGAGAACCAACACCCGATCCGAAATAATCAACGTGAATGTTTAGATTTTCGGGGGTCAAATTGAACAGTTTTCGTAGAATTGCCCTTAAACCGTCAAAGTTTGGGAGGATTTTGATAAAACATATTGTAGGTCCATTTTAAGTGTGCCTTGCCCCTTAAGTTTGGACCACATTAAGCAGAAAGGAACCGAGCCTCACCAGCTAGTGCCAAATTTCACTGGGCAAACTAATCATTTCGCACGAAAACGGTAGTGCGCATTTTGGTGCGAATTTCAGTGAATTTTCTGCATACCTAGTACGAAGCAAATCTCTTAAAATTTCAGAGGAATGCGCATAAACGTTTTCTTGTAAAAAATTAAATGGCCCAGTGAAATGGGAAAAGCTGATGTAGTTTCATTCCTTTAGACTGAGCGCGGTCAATTTGTGACCGATTTTTGATTCGTAAAAAGTCTATAATTCTCACTAGAAGACATCGTCGCGAAGAAGAAAATTACTATCGGCAGGTATAAGTCAATATTTGATCGTATGTATTTACGCACAGTAAATTCAGGAAGCATCTAAATGACTGGGCTGCAAGACTGGAGTTTCCGATTATATGTGTGTGTGTTTCTGGTCCTAAAGGTGTAACAATTCAAGCATCATACAAACCGCGCGAACCAACAAAGACTGTACCAGTGCACCTGGCGTAATAGCAGGGGGTAGGAGGGTTACGCATTGAATGAGCTTATTGCCTATACCTTTCTCTCCACCCTCATCGTTCACAGTAGCAAGGCGTGAATGATCGATTATCGATATTTTCCCATTTGAAGATTTGGTAAAGAATCGATTATTAAGGTGTTCGTTACAAACACTCTACTTATCGATCCTTTTCCATCGGTTTAAATGGCAGATCAATTGATATATCGGAAAGGACACCACGCCACTGAGCATTTACCCAGTGAATTGAATGACTTTACCGTGACACACTGATCGAATGAGGGTTTGAAATTCAAGGGCTACCTTTCTTGAAGTAGTAATTAGTTTTGCGCAATGTTGCCGCTTTCCTTCAACAGTCATATTATGACGCTTTGAATAGTGCGCGCATTTCAGGACTGCTCAGCAGCTTCGAAATATTATTTAATTTTTGTGCATTTCCACAATCAATTTTTAATATTATTATTCCGTCATGACGGATCTTTCACGTCCCTGTTTTTTTAGTGAAATAAAATGAAGAAATGACAGGAGAGTACCCTAAAACACGCATTGTTTATGTATTCCAATTTATTCATAGCACGTACTTGAATGCATTTCGGGATTACCTATCCCATCATCAGCAAGATTTAAACAAAAATACGACAATCAGATTGGAACAAATAAATATATCGCGTATAATAGAAAGGAATTAAGCCACATCAGCTATCGCCAAATTTGACTGTGCAATTTAAATCTTCACAAGAGAACGTTTAAGCGAATTCCCTCGAAAATGTTGAGGACACGGAAAAAAGAGGTAGGGGTTAAGTCCCAAGTCCCGACTGTTGGATGACATGGACATTCCAAATTAATTGTCGTAACACCCCGATTAATTGTGGTAGTATCCCAATAAATTAGGTTATGGTAAAACCCCGATTAATTGTGGTAATAGCCCAATTGATTTTGGTAGTACCCCAATAAATTAGGTTGCTAACCGAAATGTTGCGGTGCTACCAAAATTAATTGGAAATGTCCATATCATCGAACAAATTTGGTTGTAGAATAATTTTGGGGGATAACCCCTGACATTTTTTTACCCGTGGAATTTGTTTCATACTGTGCAGAAAATTCACTGCAAGTCCAATTTCCGCGTAACTGTTTCCATGTAAAAAATTAAATTGTCCAATTATTTTCGGCAGTATCGAATGTGGCCTGGTTCCTTTCTACTCAACGCGGTCCAAATATCACAATGCATAGTTGGTGAGAAATAGTAACGTACCAACCGAAAATCAAAACCAAGTTGTCAAACTATCGAAATAGAACAACGCATTGACTGATAAATAAACAATGCGTGTTTTGCTATAGTTTCTATTCATTCCTCCATTCATAGTAGCACGCGAGATGCATTTCTCTGGTGAAATAAAATGTTTTCATAAAAATGCCGAACTTATGATGTATAGGGAACAATGACCACATCTTCCATTATCTATTAATTTGATGAACTCAATAATGTAACTACTGAATAAGTCTTTATTATGCCAACGATGTCTGAAAGTAAAATATATTTATAGATTGAAGCACAATTGTCTGTAGAAAGTTGTATGACGCTCAATATTTTTGAAATAATTGTGTGGAAGCGTGATTTTGTTCAATGCTTTTCAGTAGCTCCGGTCAAATTCAAAAGTGTAGCGCAGCGGTCAGTTCCCGCCCGCTACCCCACTTCTATGCACTTGAACAACCCCATTTACACCTGCAAAAATTCGAAGTACAAAATCTCGTGAATACAATAATCTTCAAATTTCAAGTCATTATCTTCACCGAAATTAAAACGTAAGAAGACGTTGCGAAATAATCCACTTTTGTGCATTTTCCGAAGGANAAAAAAAAAAAAAAAAAAAAAAACTCATTGTATCTAGAGTCCAGACTCTAAAAAACATCGACAAGAAAAAATACTCTTGATTTAATCAGATTTAAGCTTAAATCAAGAACCAAGCCTCTTGATTTGAGCGGATTTCCTTTTGATTTAAGCTTAAATCTGATTGAATCAAGAGTCCTTTTTCTTGTCAATATTTTTAAGAGTATGGACTCTAGATCCAATGTGTTTTTTTTTTTTCAGTGTTTGGTTAATACAGGAAGTAAAATACAAAGTAACCCTAGCCCTCGGATGACAATTTCAAGAGAAAATGCCAGGTAGTTTTCTTGAAGAAATTCAATGAGAAACGATTGGTGAATACCACTGTCGCAATCGGAGGAATGCGTTTTCCCAGTGTCTCCGTTGTTTTATGCGCTAAATTCACCGCAAACTGTACCAAAATCCACAGAAAATTTGTGTTGGTTCGTCTTCCACTTCTTCTTCTTCTTATATTAACCAAAAGTAACGCAAGAACACAAATATTTTTATCGATCTGCCGCCCTTTAAGCAACTATCTTAACTTCTCTCATTTGCCTTTGCATAAATCGCCGCTCTCCTCACGCAAGAACGTAAGTAGGTACATATCAATTTTGCCCAATTTCTTCTTGCAAATCGCACTTTTACCAGACAAATTTCCGGAATTTTTAACGGAATATTTCACTGATTTTTCTTCCGAGCCCATGCAAAAACCCGAAAAATTTTGGAGAACAGCTGCACAGGTATATTTTGTAAAAAATGGAATTTTTTGAGTCCGGTTTCTGTGATCATAAACTTAGGTTCAAGGAATCAATTTTTTTTCGTTCCCCGTGAAACGAAACGAATTTTGGTACTTGTAATCGCACGGTTAGACATTTCCGTGTTCATAATTATACTTCGGGTTACTTTAAGTTTCTTTTGTTCGGTCAGATCAACCAACAGGATTTGGATGACCCAAATTGTTGGTTCAATCGACCGAAACCGTTGGTTACCGCGAGATATACAGGGTGATCCAGGGTATAAACGGCCAGACTGCAGGAGCGTGTTCTATGGGTCAAAATAAGACTTTTTTGTTGTGTAAATTTTTTCCAAAAGTTCCCCCAGTCAAAGCTACGGCCTCCCCCAACGTTTCAGAAAGTAAATAGTTTTCCCTGAATTTTGGCAACGGTTGTGAACCAAATCTCATGAAAATTTGTGCTCCCTTGTACTTTTATTCCTTGACTTGATAGATGATCTAAAAAAAAAAAAAAAAANAAAAAAAAAAAAAAAAAATATCAAAATCTCGATTTAAAGAGCGGGTTTGGCGGTGTTTTGGCTCCTGCAGTCGGGCTATTTTACTCTGAATCACCTTGTATAGAGATGAAGAAAGTGTTCTGCAGAAATATTACTTCTCTCGTTTCTCTCGCTGTCATTCAGAGATGTTGCTACTTCCGAGTGGCTAGGCTAGGGTTTTCACTCTCGGGGACTAAGGTTTGATCCTGGCCACACGCGCCTGAATTTTTACGAGATTGCAAATTTTTAACCCAAAGATTTGGTCAATGTAATCCAAAACAAAAACCAACCAAATAAAATTTACGGCCCGTTTTGGTTACTTTAAGTTCTACTTCCCGTACCAAAAAAAAAGTCGGGCACTTTTTCTTACTGTACGAGGTTATTTCTCCGCGTATTACGCTACCTTGCTCAGGAAGAACGCCGTATGAGCCTCTCAGTGGCGTGGCGACCGTGGCGTGCTTCCATATATATCGATATTTCTCCATTTGAAGATTAGGTAAACTATCGATGAATAAGGTGTTCGTTGCGAACACCCTGATAATCGATCCTGTTCCACAGGTTTACATGGCAGATCAGTCGACATATCGCAAAGCACGCCCACGCCACTGGAGCCTTTAAATGTTACCATATTTTCTTCGATAAAAAAAAANAAAAAAAAAAAAAAAAAAAAAAAAAAAAAAAAAAAAAAAAAAATTACTTCGAAAATGTTGGATATTTTCCTTCAAATTGTTTTAAAAAATGTTATCCGCAATTCGATCTAAAATATTCGAAAATTAAGAGAAAAAATAAACATAACTCTCTCCGAAAATTCATGTTTTATCCGGGGAAATTTGGCAAATCTCGAACAATCATACGGCATTCTTCCTTAGCGCGGCAGTACGGTCGGTGCTGAATTCCTGGAGGAAAAACTTGACTTACCCCTCATACTTTGAGCTTGCGACTCTGACATCACGGCAGCAAACTGGGGTATGTTTTGGTAAGCATACAGGAGAGATTTTTCCGGATCTGTGACTCCGGCCTTCTTGAGTGCGTTAATGGCATTTGTTCTGCCGTGGATACCTGACACGATGAACACGGGGCCTCTCTTTGGGGGGCCCTTTCTTCCGGATCCGGATTGACGACCCTCGATAAGGAAAACCATGTTGAAGATCAACCACAGGAGCAGCAGCGTCTTGCTGTATGAACAGCGGCGTTCTGTTGTCAGCATTGCGGAAGTTACGGAATTTACGTCTCGCAGGTTCTGGATCGCTCGAGTGTGCGGACGGGTCTGGAGCTTCAGAGCTTCGGGTTTCGAGTTAAGTACGCTGTGCTACTGTTTGCAAACGCTGACCTTCGCCTTGAAATTTATTGGCAGACAGCGTCAAAAAGTTAATCAAACCAAAACGACACATTAATCTCCAACTCGACAATCCGTCGAACAGAGACCGACAGCGATTACACTAGACAGTCACATTGTTTTTAGTTGATTGTTTATTCTAATACTGCAAAAATCCGGTTTGAAAAACGGTGGATTCGAGTGAGAGCAAATAAAAATGAAAGTATTGACGATCACTTGTATGTTCACTATCGAGGACAAACTGAATGGGATACGCGACATCTCCATGAAATCCTATAGTCAACATTATTAGTGATAATAATTTTAAATAAATACCCTGTTTTCGGAGGCCCTCGCCCCTGAACCCTCCCCAGACACGAGCGCGAAGCGCGCTTTCCGGTTCTTATATTAATTCCGGCTATTAAGCTCTAATCAAAACAAAACTTTAAAGGAGAATTCACGGCTTGTCCGATAGATTTTATGCACAGTCCTGATGTTTTTTTCTAATTTTTGGGAAACGCTTTAGAGTTTTAGCCTCTGCTTAAAATTTAACATGTGCTTTAAACATTTAACAAAGTGTCTGTCTTTTAACCAGAGGTCAAACCCCTAGCAAAAGTTGACAGAGCCCAGCCTTACAGAATCAATTGATGCATGTTAAACTTAAAAACTTGACCGGTTGAAAAAGCAATCTGCGAGGAGACTTGACAACTAAGCTTGCCAGATGACCACTGATTTTTGAGAGGGGAATGCCCCGATGTGAGGGAGGGGGGATATATCGTGGTCCCCAGCGGAAACGGTCGGTTGTTGGCGGCCGCGCGCTCAACAACTTGGGACACGTTTTTCTCATGAACTTTGAAAACAGCTTCGGCTCATCCCATTACCAGACACAAGTCACTCGCGCGTTTTTTCTTTACGATTCCTTCACATCGTTTTTTCTTTTTTTTCCATTCATCATTGAGGAACATTCAATTGGTCACACTGGAAAAAAACAGATCGGATCTAGAGTCAAAACTCTTAAAAACATCGACAAAAAAAATATACTATTGATTCAATCGGATTTAAGCTTAAATCAAGAACCAAGCCTCTTAATGTGAGCAGATTTCCTTTTGATTTAAGCTTAAATCTGATTGAATCAAGAGACCTTTTTCTTGTCAATGATTTCAAGAGTCTGGACTCTAGATCCAATGTGTTTTTTTTCCAGTGCAGTTGCGTTGTTCATTTTATTTGAATTTATTTTATTTTGCTAAATTGGTAAAAATGAGCCGAATTACCCAAGGCACAGGTCGAAGATAGTTTAAAAAGCACGACCAGTAAACAAACAAAAAACAGGTTATCACTGCTGATAGAGGCAGCTTATTGTTAGTTTCAGGACTGGTTTTTTTAAATGGACTTATGTCTGCCAAACGGAACTAAGCGCAGTATGACGTGAGCCCTGTTATGCATATATTCGTATGGGTCTCAGGGCTTACGTCTTAATACACAGAGCTCCGTTAGGCAGAAACATGTCCAAATTGTATTTAAGATATCAGGAAAATCCAAAATAAAATAGTAGAGCTCTGAACAGTATCCGGGGCGTTATTTGGACGTATTTCTATCAAACAGAACTGTGCAGATGGAAAAGGTGAGGTGTGCTCGTTAGTGCTCGAGCCATAAGAATGGATAAGAAATATAAAGCCCCAGTGACGAAGCTGCTGGAATTGCCCTTCGTCGACTTAAACTCATGATCTCTGTGCACAACGCGCTTGACCCATGCCCACAGCTCATGGAGTGTGCACATAGTTTCGTTTGCCAGAATGTAATATTCCGATTTTCTAATTCAGCAAACGGAACTGTGTGCCAACTGAATGCAAAACTCATGAGCCTTGAGCATGTGTCAAGAGCGTTGTCAGGGCCGGATCTAGGGGATGGCCACATGGGCCGCGGCCCATGGCGGCAAAAGGGGGCGGCAAATTTTGCAATTTTTTTAAATATAGGTATAAAAAAAAAAAAAAATCGGATTCAAAAAAAAATCACAATCGAGGGAAGGTGACAAAATCTCTGATATTCTGAGAGTATATTTCTAATTTTGTCGTCTTTCTGTGATACAATTGACAGGACCTTTCATTAATCCATTTAAGACTAAGAGAGAAACCGAACACGAAATTTGGTCTGGAACGGCGTGGCGCAGAGAGCAATGATGACGAGGACTTCGGATGAAAAGGAGTAGCCCTCGGTGTGGCGGTCGGCATGTATCACATATTAGCGCCTACAAGACTGCATGAATACTTCACGCATTGCGTCAAAGACAGTGCGGTCGCTGCGGTCAGCAGCGGGCGGCGTGAAACGCATAGCGCCTACAAGACTGTGGGAATACTTCACGCATTGCGCCAAACACAGTGCGATCAACATTGGTCGGCGTGAAACGCAAAGCGCCTACAAGACTGTAGGAATGCTTCACGCATTGCGCCAAACCCATTGCGGTCAGCGCGGCGCAGCGGCGGAAGTTAAACTTATTAAATCACATTTATGTTTGTTCTTTCATAATTTTTCCGTTCATTTCTTCAAATGGAAGGCCTCGTCCACACAGAGATAGGTATACGGAACTTAACTTTTGCGCAAAGTTTTGTGAACTTTTGCTAATAGTGTTGACATGGTTTTCGCAAATCATGTATCCAACAAGAATGAACGCGTCTAATGCACCCCTCTCCCTTTGGCACGTTCACTTGATGGTTTTTATTGATGTTTCAAAACAAATGATAAGGGGGCGGCAAAATGCAGACGGCCCATGGGCAGCAAGTTGGTAAATCCGGCCCTGAGCGTTGTACATGAATTAAAGTCGATGAGGGGCAATTGGAGCGGCGGATCCGTCACTGGAGCTTTTTGTTTCCCATTCATTCTTAATGCCCGAGCACTAGCGAGCACACCCCATCTTTTCCACCTGCACATAGTTCTGTTTAATAGAAATACGTTCATTTTTGTTCTCAGTTTGTATTAAGTCGTCGTACCCTAGGTAGCGTGAGGAAGGGGTCGACAAACGTAAGTCGAACTTGCGGATAAAACCCGAGCGGGATCCAGAACGGACGAGCACACGCGAACCGGTGACCTATCAGGTGCTACGCGATCAGAAAGCAAGAGCCTCTTGCCGGGGGGGGGGGGCATGCATTTATATCAATGCTATTCTGATAAGGGTTGCATTGATAAAATGCACACGGCCTGAGAGTACACATACTCTTGACCAAATGCCAGTGTGCCCCAATATTGGGCCATTGTGGCGTCCAGGGGTGCTCAATACGATGGAGTCGTGATGGGGGACGCGGGGCGTACCACATAGGTAGATCATTTGGACGTATTTCTGTCAAACGGAACTATGTGCATTAAGACGTGAGCCCTGAAACCCATAAGCATATGTGCATAACAGGGCTCACGTCATAATGCACTTAGTTCCGTTTGGCAGAAATACGTCCATTTGAGGTTTTACCGTTGCCTACGAGAATGGAGAGGCCGTAACTAGTCAGTTCTGTGACGTCAAGCTAGTAGATATTTACCGAAAACAACAAGCATCTCCGGGTCATCAGTGCATCGATGAGTGAGGCAGTCGCTGCGTGGACCAATCAGAGTCGCTCTCGATCGGCCGAAGTTGCGCGAGCGGCCCGTTTGAATCTGAGTGGAGTAACGATTTTCGGTATTACGCATTCATTTCCTCGATATTTTAGACAATGTCACAAATGAACTAGTTAGTTTTCTAAAGTGAAATTTCATCCTCTTTCTAAACGGTTCTTATGAAATTTTGCATCAGATCAACCCTGAAAGAGATATCGGCGAGAAATCATCGCGCGGCAAGCGTTCTCCCATAAGAACGCGTGTTAAACCGCGGCCGAGTTTCATCTACTAGTGTGACGTCACAGAATCGTAGTTACGGCCTCTCCATTCTCGTAGGCAACGGTTTTACATTCAATCAAAACAATTTCGCAAACGTGGAGGAGCATTCGCATTCCCCGAAGGTCAAGAGGCCGGTTATCTGCACCGAGCACTAGCGACCGGCCCAGCACTCCCACTTCCACCCATCATCGCGCCTCCCGCGTGAACGACGTCACGTTACGTCACGGAACCGCGTTCATGCGCAGTACGATGCTCATTGTTTATCGAGAGCTTTCGCGATTCGCAGCATGGACGGACAAGTGAGATGTTTTTGCAGCAAAGCGCTGCTGGTTTTGTGGTTGATTTGTGTTTCGGTCGTTTCCATCGAAATGGTGGAGGTGCCCGAGTTGGGTTCCACCTCGGGTGTTTACATCGTGTACACGGAGCTACCGCAAGGTGAGCCGCAAGCGCACCACCTCAAAACGTTGGCGTCCATCGTCGGAAGCGAACAAGCGGCGAGGGACGCTCTGCTCTACGTCTACACGCACGCAGCAACCGGCTTTTCCGCCAAGCTCACCAAAGACCAAGCCGCAGAGATGTCCAGTAAGTGATCCTCGATTAAACATAATTGCACTGCATTTTGCAATTCGGAACCACAATTTCTGTCTTTGTTGTACATTGGGAAAAAAACACATTGGATCTTGAGTCCTGACTCTTAAAAACATTGACATGAAAAAATACCCTTGATTTAATCGGATTTTTGCTTGAATCAAAACGAACTCCGTTTAAATTAAGAGGCTTGGTTCTTTGTTTAAGCTAGATTTTAATTGAATCAAGAGTACTTTTTCTTTTCGATGTTTTCAAGAGTCTGGACTCTAGATCCAATGTGTTTTTTTCCAGTGTAGACAAAATATGATGAAGTTAAATGTTTCTCGAACTTGGGAGAGAAATCTTGATTTTTCCGATAGAAGTGAGTGGACATTAAAAGATCTCCATTCATAGCAAAGAATGTTCCGGTAAATCAGAAAAAAATAATGAAACATCGTGGATTGAAAAAAAAACCTACTCATGAAATGAATAAGTGAGAACGAAAACACATCAACTCGAAAAAATGAAATTGATCAAGACACACACAAAATTGCACAGCATAGGTGAAGAAGTTAGTGTCAGAAAAATATTTTTGGTGCCGAAAGACAGGTGCTCAAGGACACTTTAAAGGTCCGAGTTGGAATAGATGCGCTAACTTCAATGACATTCATAAAAATTGAGCATTTTCGAGTTACCAAGTTGGTGTGTCTTCATTCTCACTCATTCAAATGTCGCTGTACATGATTGAAGGGACTATGATGGTACCTGTTCTCCAATGCAGCTTATGCAGTCATGCGCCATGATTTGCAGAGGGGGCATTTCTGAAGAGAGCCCATTTTTATATTCCAGTAGAATCGAACCCCCAGGAATTCATTTCTCTCATCCTAATTCCAGAAGGTGGCACAGTAATGAATTCACGTTTTATCTGTTCCAGAGCAACCTGGTGTTCTTTCAGTCCAACCCAGCATGACTTATCAACTGGCTTCAGGCTCAAGGACTGGAGGACTTTTTTAAAGTTCATCCATTAAACATACCTACCGATTGTAAAATTTTTTAAAAAAAAAAGTATCTTCATTCATAAAGTAGAAACTCTTAGGCAAACCCCATTAAAGATACTTTACGTCGAGGAGAAGATTGTGAAAGTCGTCAGAATTCATCTATAAAAATGTAAACACATTTTAGGACCCCTCGTTTCATTTTCGGGCACTCCAATCCTAGGATCTACTTATTTCTTCTGGAACGTAACAATGCTATCAATTCACAAAAGTTTTAATCTATTCCAGAGCGACCTGGTGTTCTTTCGGTTCAAAGTGATATGGCATCGCAGCTCTCAGGCTGAAGGACTGGAGAACTTTTTTAAACTTTATTTATTGCTCTTATTTTCGACGTTCAAAAAATTGGATCGTAAGAAAATATCCTGTCATGTGAGAAGTCGAACCTGTTTTCTTTCCCATCAACAGCGACACGTTTTTCCATCTCTAGATTATAAGTCTTTATTTGAAGTGTTAATAAAATTTGTCGGAATTAATATTAAGAACTGCTTTTGTACAGAAGGAATGAATAAATTGTTGATCTGTATTTTTTTCAATCAAAGTCTTTACTTGTTTCATTTGATTTTTTTTTTCGATTTTCCCGAATCGTCATTTCCTTCACAAAGGAACATAACTCCGTTTCAATGTTACCAAATTCCCTCTCGCGAAGCGCATATTAACCAAGAAAATCTTGGACATTTCTAACTGAAGATTTCACTGATTTTTCCTCAGATTTCAAGAAAAAAGGAAATTTTGGATAAAAATTGCACAAATACGTTTTTGTAAAATATATTGATTGTTCCAGTCAATTTGGCTACTTAAGAATTGAGTTACGTTCCTTCGTGCGGGAGACAACGAAGTAAGAACCATGAATTTCGGCCTGGTTTAAAATTAACGTTTGTGCCATTAGTTTCCCCATGCACATAAGTGTTTTTTCAGATGAGTTAGAATTTATAGCTCCAAATTACAAAATGCAGCCCAGTTGGATTACATTTTGCAATAAGGAGCCACTGACTCTGGCTCTTCCACAAAAGCAACTTCCTGCACAGAGAAACCAATTGCATATAATTATGTTATTCTAAAAGGAGCAATAAATAGTGGTTCCTCATTGCAAAATCTGGCCCAGTTGTCGATTGTATTGAGCGATGCCTGAATGCCTGAGTGGTAAATCAACAATAAAGTCCGCTGTGCTTTTTAGCCGATACGTCGTTTTAACCGATGTTGTATTAACCGATACACTAACACGTCATCTTATGGAGTTTCATATCATGATTCCGATTGAAATGAAACCCATTTGCGGAAGAGGAGCAATGTCGGTCTCTAGAAATTAGGCGAGTTACTCTCGGGGTTAAGTAACTTAGGTCAATTGATCACGAAGCTCGATATTTTAAAAGGGTACCGGATTCCTAATTTATGTTACCGCCTCGGAATTTCGAGTCACTCGCCTTCACTTGGTTCGGACAAGCCAGTATAGGACAACCGAGAAAATGGACTCGAGATGCTTCCAGGATTTTATGTCTACCTACCTTTCGTCCATTCAATAAATGTCCACCGCTATTTATGTCCACTAAACGTTAGGTCCAGTCTTTATTAAGTCCACATGATTTAATGTCCAACCATGAATATGTCCAAAATTGTCCAAATTGTGGACATGTTATGTCCACAATTTTCATTTTTATGACAGGAACCACCTCAAAAATAAATGCATACTACTACTACCTTCATTCTTAAAAACATTTCATTCATGAAGCAAGTCATGAAAGAGAACAGACTCTAAGAGCAGATAAAAACATATGTTCATGTGTACACTGTACGGATATGATAAGATGAAAACCGAAGCGGGAGCCTAGGAAACGCTCTAATGCCAAATTAAACATTTTTCAGTAACAGGTGCAGTCAAAATTGAAAGTCCTCTATAACAAGTTATTTCGTGCGCCTTCAATCTTGTAGGATACTGTGCAACGCCTCCGACGCGAAATAGTTGCTTAAAGAGTTGCGGCGCGGCAGGCAATCAGCGAGACACGCGCATGGGCGCCTACAAACCTAACGGGATACTTCACGCGTTGCGCAATGCGTGAAGTATCCCGTTAGGTTTGTAGGCGCCAGTGCGCGTTCTGCGCTGCTAACACGCCGCTCCGCTCTGTGTTAGGCTCTAATATTTAAACTCGCGGAGTCAGCGTTTTTCAACTCATGATTTTGAAATGTCTGCACTCTCTGCATTGATTATTCCCTTTTAAACTAATGAAAAAGAAATATTTACTACTGGAAATTATAATGTGTTTTTTGTAAATATAATAGTGGCTCCGTGTCCAATGAGTTCCAAAGCATTCAAGTTTTTCTTTTAATTTTTCAGAGAATTTCATTCACGACCAGATCTGAATCATCCGAAAATGCAAGAGAAAATATTCAAAAATCCACTAAGTAAGAAATGTACACTTCATCGGAGAAAATTCGGCAACCCTCGAATTTCCATACAGCGTTTTTCCTTAGCACGGCAGTATAGCTCCCCGTTGCCGCTTTTCCGCCGGGCGAAATGGAGGGGCAAGGCCAGGGCGCCGTCCTTTGGCATAGCGGCCGTCTAGACGGGGCACCCCCAGCTCCACCCTCTCCTCCCCCCTTCCGCCGTAGTCAACCGAGCCGCTAACTCGCCAACTTGGGTCGTCATTCGTCATCTTGTTCCGCGACCGCCGCGCCGCGCCGTGTTCGACGCAACCCCGCGTTTTATTTTTATCGCCCCCCTCCCCCCTGGCCCCCCGATCGGAGCGGGGACCTAATTGATAGTGCTATTACAGCGTCGAGCCTCTGGGCGAAGCCGCAAACCACAAATATTAGGCTAACTCGCGGCAAGTGGAAGCGGGGGACTCGCCGAGTGATGGAGTAGCTGAACCCCAGCGCCGGTCCGGCATATTCGCGCTCTGCCACGCTAAGGAAGAACGCCGTGTGAGCCCTCAGACGTTGTCAAGTTTCCTATGCTAAAGTACGAATTTTCCGGGGAACATGTGAAAATTTTCCCTCCAAAAGATCAGAGAATTTTATTCGCAATCATTCCTACATTATCTGAAAATTTCGAGAGGAAATATCCATGGCTCTCCTCAGAAATAAACATTTTATCAGAGGAAGTGTGGCAGCTCTCGAATGTTCATACGGCGTTTTTCCTCAGCACAGCAGTATGGTGTTCAATTTAAACCGAATATATTTTCTTTATGTGCGTCTCTCAAGTGCCCTAAACTTGATAAGAGGAAAGAGGAGGGTAACTTGAGGGATACACTCTGTATTGCGAGGACATCCACTGAAAAAAAGGTGCTTGCCACAAGCATGATGAAATGATGAATTTGCCGCCAAGACTTTTTTTATCTTGATTTAAGCTGAATTTTTTTTGAAACACGAAAAATAATGCTTGGGTTAAGCAAAAAAGTAATTTGTATCAAGCAGCAAAATTCTTGTCTTAAGAAAAAATACTTCTTGGCAGCAAATTTAAGATTCTTTTTTTTTCAGTGGACAACGATGCCCTCGCAATACAGGGTGTTTCAAATGGAATCGCTATGTTCGAGGAGAGCATTATCCTACTTTGTTTTTATGTGTTGAAGGACAGGGAACTACGTCACAAAAGCGTTACACGGGAGGGGGTTGGGGTCAAAAATGCCGGAAAAGTGCGTTACGTAATTTAGGGCCAGCCCTTACTTCGCTCGTATTTCTTTAATACCGAGAGTTTAGGCACGTTGAAATATGGAGCTCTTTGGGCCGAAGAAGGCAGCCAACCTTTTAATACAAAAAAGTTCACGGCCAAGCTTCAGATTCTCATATCAAACCGCAAGATGACCAAGAATGTTCATAAATGAGCGTTAAATTGCAAAAATGGGTTGATGTCTGCGAAAACTAGGTCCACCACAAACGTCGGGTGTCGTCGGGTCGTAAAAATTTTAATAATAAATGTCTATCGCTTTGTCTATCAATTAAATAACCAGTCCACTGACCCATTCTTGTTGCGTAGACCCACCCGTTGTATTCGAAATTTCCTCTGTGAAAAGGTGACGAATTACAGGAAGCTCGTAATAAGCTATGAAAGACAGCAGTAAAAGCCCTCTTCACGGCAAAAGTTGAATTTTATCAAGAAATCAAGTTGAAAATCTCAGATCGAGACATCATCGTGAATGAAAAAGGAGCCGAAAACAGGAATACCCGCGCGAAAGCCATTACTCAGAGGCTGGGTAATTTATGCCGCCATTATTGTCAAAAACCGCCTTCAACTAATTCAGTAGAACCGCTGAGAGGGCCTCGCGTATTTCAGCAATTAATCGTTATGTTACGTGTTAATCTTCGCACCGCAATATTTTATGTTGACAATCTTGTTCACACGACAGCAACATTTTAATGAACCCGGGTAAATCCGATCAATCAGAGAAATCGCGATTTCAACTGCGATCATAGCAGAGTTTCCACGGTCAGGGTATACCGAGAAAACCGGGGATTGTCAGGAAATTTTAAAATCTCAGGGAAAAATCTTGAAATCACCTTCATTTGCTTTCTGGAATGGGTTTGACGTTTCAAGAAACAAATACCTGAAAACTATTAATGACTATGTCTTTTTGAAAATCTGGCATTTGCTCAATTGTCGGTGAATTTCACCAAAATGTGTCAGAAAAATCGGGGAAATGTCAGGAAATTTAATTTTCAAAATTCCGAGGCAACCCCGATCACAATGCCTCGTTAAGTAGAATCGCGATTGAAAAATGGCATCAGTAGTTCCTTCTCCTTCGACAAAAATATAATTGAACTGGAATGTGAATTCCTCGCGAAATCGAGAAATTTATAGTCGAAGGTTTCAAAGTTGATTGAAGGAGCATAATAACAACCGGAGTTCAGCCAGCGTTTATTTTTAACAGTCCTGATTTTGGTTTGATTATTTGAAAAAAATTTACGGAAAGGGAAAAAAATGTGTACCGAAAACTGGAGAAAACTCGAGAAAATCACAATTCACGTTTTTTTATCGATTTTCCGTACTTTCTGATTTTGCCCTTTAATTCAGTTTTCCCTCTGGAAACATTGAAGATTATGAAACTTGCTTTTAAACTTGATTATGAACTTGAACTTTTTGAAAACATGTCTTTAAGCTTAGTCGGTTAAATCACTTCTCAAACAGAGTTTTCACCCGTATTTGTGCCGTGAAGAAAACTTAAGGCATAGTGATTCATAACGTACACAGCTCCGTGAATATACTAGCTTTGTCCTATTTTTCCTATGAATTCTTAGACAAAATTCTGAGGGAAGAATTTTGGGAGTGAGTTGTGAATAGTAACAATAAAAACTTCTCCAAGGAGCTATGGAATCTCGAGGAGAAATTTACTTTTCGATGGACCAAAGCTAAATAAGTCGTGATTTCTCAACGTGCTCATAAATAACCCTACGACGTAGCCTGCTGCCGCACCTTCGTAAATTGAACACCAACGAATTTCAGGCGAATTCTGAAAAAAATTGATTTTTGGTGCTCGTGTAGCAACCGTGCGTCATGGGCGAGTTCCGATGAGATTGACATGTCTTCGTCCTTTGACCTTTGAATGAGCTCCCAGCTCAACAAAGATCAGATTCTGCGTCTGATTGCATAACCTTATTAACTGTCGCTGGTTCGTGGTAATCCCCGTGATAAAGCTTTCCCTCTCTCTCCCCCTCTCTTCCACTCATTTCTTCTTCTTGTTGTCCTAATTCTTACTTTCGTTCTTCATGTGTATAAATGCGAATTAAATACGAACTATTAATTTTTATTGGAAAAACTAGGTACCGTCCCAGGAGAACAATTTTCAATCAATAGAGATAATTTTTTCTGGTTTTTTTTTTTTTGGTTTTCTCCATTTTTTTGTTATTTTTGTTTTTCCCATTTTTTTTCTGATAATAGTTCGGTTGCGTGAGGTACATAATCATGCCTCAGGTCTTAGATGAAGAAGATACAATTATTATTATGGATGATTAGGGGTGTCAGAGCATAACATGCCCTTTTTAAGGGTGGGTTAGAGTTTTGCAATTCATACAAATGGTAGTTCTATAAAAATCCAAAGATTCGCAAAGATTTCGCACAAAAATGACCCTTGGGAAGAATTCGTTCAGTTGCCGGTGATTGGCATTTCCGTTAGTCCTCTGAAAATTTCGTTTTTGGGCATATGGTCATTTTTCATCGCTTGAGGGGAATAAAATATCAATTTAAAATATTCTGCTAGCGAAGCCTCTTCATAAACAAATGGACCGCGTTCAGCAGAAAGGAACCCAGCCACTGCAACCATTGCCAAATTTAACTAAGCAATTTGATGTTTTACAAGAGAACGTTTGCGCGGATTTCTTTGAAAATTTTGAGGAATTTGCCTCGCACTATACAGAAAATCCACTGAAATTCGTGCGAAAATCTGCACAGCCGTTTCCATCTAAAAATTAGATTACTCAATTAAATTTGTCTATAGCTGATGTGGCTCGGTTCCTTTCTGCTTAACACGGTCCACACGTCTACGAAGGATTCCCGCTGAGTAAGACTGGAATTTGCATTCCAAGTCTTGACGATTTTATGTTTTTTGTTTTTATGTCTCGGAGCTATAAAGATATGTTTAGTGGAGGATATAACATATTCATAAAATCTAGGTGTTACTCAGAGCGCAAATCAGATGAATAGCCCTCACGAAACCTCTCTGAAAAACGGACAGTATATTCTCATAATGGCAACTGGGGTACAAAAATAACCTCAACCAAAAATTCACCGGAATAATGGAGGAAGCGTGACCCATTCTCGGAATCTAATCGTAAAGATAAGAATCTTTATCTCTTCGCTGGAGAATTGCTCCACTTTATTTACATGTCGTATCAATTCTACGTACTAACGAGCTCCGAATTAAAATTAAATATATTCATTTGTGCGCGAATGATGCCTGCATTTATAGAAAAACGTCGTATGAACATTCGAGAGTTGCCAAATTTCCTTCGATAAATTGTTCATTTTTGAGAGAAGCTATGCATATTTTTCCTTGAAATTTTTAGGAACTTTATGCGAAATTGAGAACAAAATTATCTGCAAAATTGGAAGGAAAATGTTTACAAATTTTCCCGGAAATTCTTCATTTACTTAAAGACATTTGGCAACGCCTGAAGGTTTTTATGTCGTTTTTCCTTGGCACGGCAGTAACGATCTAGCCACGGGCTATAGTGGAACAGTCAGTAATTTTTCTCCGCCAAAAATATGGCTAAGTATCGGCGCAACAGAAAGAGTCAAGTATCGCGGTTGATTTGACGCTTTTATCCCACCACTTTATGGCTGAATGGTTCCGGAAATAAGTCGTGAGCGCCGCTGAGCGGTATCACTGAGATGAGTGAAATCGTTTGAATGTAGTAAAATGATAAAACCTTGTACTCAGAACTAGTCCGTATCGCACTAGATGTTGGAAATTGACACGTGCGTAAACAAGACTTGTGGTGTTTTCAAGGAAATTGCCTCTTATCAAGTTTAAGGCACCAGAGAGACGCACATAAAGAAAAAAATCTTTGGTTTAAATCGAACAGCATACTGCCGTACTAAGGAAAAACGTCATATGAACATTCGAGATTTGCTAAATTTCCTTCGATAAATGTTGGTTTTTGAGGAAAGTCATGAATATTTTTCCTTGGAATTTTTAGGAACTTTCGGTGAAATTGTGAAAAAAAGTATCTGTAAAATCGGAAGGAAAACATTCAGTTTACCGGAAAATTCGTGCTTCATGTAAGGAACTTTGACAACGCCTGAAGGTTCATACGGCGTTTTTCCTCAGCACGGCGGAATAGTTCTTGGTACAGGTCACATTCTTCGGTCACAGGAATCAGACGAGCGGTTCAAGTCACCACAGTTTTTGTTAGCTCTACCAAGATTCGTATACCTCACAGAGAACTCCAGTAATCTGAGCCGAAGTTTGGTCTCTGTTTTCTCCCTTAGACTATTAGAATCCCCCATTTCAACTAGAGTACCTGTCCTGTATAGGGAGAGTACCGACAGATGTGAAACTCCGAAAGTCCATCAGGCCTTCACCGATGCCTCCGCGAATAAAGTTAGGGCCCAAAAGGGCAGTCAACCTATGAATTTCAATTATCCAGAGCGATTTACTGATACTATTGTTACGAACCGTCCTTAATTAAGCACGTTTTTGACTCAGTTTTTGCATAAATTTACTCAATTTCGCGGAAGAACGCTCATTTCTGTACATTCTTGGCCATCTTGGTTAGAATTGGCATCTGCAGACTGGCAGTGAAATTTTGTGCGTTAGAAGTTGGTTAGAAGGGTGGCTGCACTTTTGGGCCCTAAGCCCTCCATGAACCGACCTGTCGGTACTCTCCCTATACAGGTACTCTAATTTCAACCGATAGTATTGCTTTATACTCCGTACGTCTATGTTCTTCGTCTATCAATTTCAACGATCAACCTGCTGATAACTTTTCGATCACCCTGTGTCGTTACGTGCGCTTTCCCTGGCATTAACCTATCCCATCTTTCCCTCTGTTGCAGAAACTGGATGTGACGCCGAGCCTGATCCCTCGGGACACCGAGGACCTGGAGATCTCCGGGGGCGCGGAGGTTCGGATCCAGGCGAACGCCTTCTCGCAGCTCCACGGAGGCGGGCTCCGGCGGGTGGCCGTCTCCAACGCCACGCGGCTCGTCCTCGCCAAACACGCCTTCCACAACCTGAGCACCGTCCAGCTCTTCCTCAACGTCTCCCACTGCCGGAGCGTCGTCGTCGAGACGGGGGCCTTCAAGTCGATCCAGGGACCCCTCGCTCTCCAGATCACCGACTCCGCCGACGTCGTCATCCAGGGCTCGTCCCTGTCCTGGATCCTCTCCGTCCTCGTCCGCGAGTGTCCCTCGCTCAAGCTCCACGAACACGCCTTCTCCCAGGAGTCCCACTACGTCGGCCATCATGGCCCCTCCACGCAGGTGAGTCGAATCTTTGATTGAAAGTCTCTTTGCATAGAGAAAAAAAAGGAGGTGTTTGCATTTCGGGCATCTTGGAATTTTTTGATGACTTGATGACGTAGGTGGGTACAGTGTGAAAGGGACGTCGCTGTACCCAGCTGTACCCACCTACGTTATCAAGTCATCAAAATATTCCAAGATGCCCGAAATGCAAACACCTCCTTTTTCTCTCTATGGTCTCTTTATACAAGGAAAAAAAGTTACGGGGTATATAGACATACTGTCCGTTCCAGGCTTAGAGTCCGAAAGTTCCGGGTGCTGGAGCCGTCGTTTCGATTGCTCTGGCTGGGTGCTACGCCCGGAACTTTTGGCCTCTGGGCCCGGAACGTGGACAGTATGTCTATGAAGTCCGTAAGTACGACTTCCATGGCCGGAGTGTTTTTTTCAGTGCAGGATTAGTTTGATCCAAACATGGTGTCAAAGATCGGGAATAGGGGGCCGTCCCTAAATTATGTAACACTTCAAGGGGGAAGGGTCTTTCCTAGCGTTAAACGGCGTTACAGGGGAGTGGGTATCGGGTGCAGAGCGAAGCGTTACGTGACGAGTTTATATGATTTTTCCGAGTTTTTGTAGAACTTTTCATTCGTTGTCTTTAAAAGTTTTAAAGAATCTCGGAAATATTCTTTGCAATACTTTCACTTCTCACTAAATAGAATTCGCTAATCCGTCCAATAAATGTGAGGTGGTATTTTTAGATTATTTTATACCGAAATGGGAGAGGGGTGGCAAACGCTACGTAATTTTTTAGTAGAGGTTTAGCACAGCGTTACGGAGCGTTACACGGGCATTGGTCGTGGGGGTGTCAAAAGCCGCAAATTTAGCGTTATGTAATTTAAGGACGGCTCCTAACCAGGGAAAATAGGGCCGGATTCGTTCGGGAACGAAAACTTCAGGGGGCGTAGAAAGTAGTTAAGCTGATAAGAAAGCTGATTCTGATTAATGACGCTCATTTAAGCGTGGCCAAGAGAACGCCTTCTTTATTACGTTGATAGCAAGGTCTGGATGCAACTATTCGTGTTCGGCAGTCGTTAAAGTTGCCTATGCAAAAATAGAAGGCGCACCATATTTCCTGACGCGCGGTGTATGGCACTTATTTCGGATCTCGATATGTGACTTTGCGAACTTCTCATAAAATTTTGATACTTCATACGAAAACCGACGATCATGTAATATCTTAGAATTTTTACTGATTTTCTTCATCCGGTGAGAAATGTTTCTAAAATATTTGAACAAAACTTTAACTAATTTTTCTTAGAGGAATGGGAAAAAAAGAAAAAAATGAAAGAATGACAGATATTGAGGCATTTTGCGGTAAGAAGGGGTATGAGGCTCGAAGCTCTACTAAGATTGTGCAATTTTTATAGCTTTTGCAGCAGATGATATTCACTTGCAGTCGACTTACTTTTTTACAATAGCGAGGAAAGGAGCAGATTTAGGGAAAAATTCATAGCAGAACTGTTCGACAACTTACTTACACCTAGAGAACTACGCTGTACAATCATAGCAAAGTCTCATACGTCCATTTACCGAAAAATGCCTCAGTTTTGAAAGGTTAGAATCAAGACAGTTTTTCAGGGCGCTCACTGTTGGACACCAATGAGAATTTTTAAGGTGCGTTGGATTGCCTCGTTTGACTTATCCTTTCTTTTTCAGATCATTTTGGAGAAAGTCGAGATTAAGGAGTTGCCTCGGAACGCTTTTATTTCGGCCATGATGGAGTTGAGAGTCGTGGAGAGTCATATCGGAGTCATCCGTCAAAACGCCTTCTCGGCAGCGAGCATCGGCGGAGTTACCATCCTCAACTCAAGCGTCGACACAATCGAGGAGAACGGCTTCAGCGACCGGACCGTCATCAGCCGATTGATCCTCCAACACACTCTAGTCCGTAGTTTAGAATCAAATGCTCTGAGATCACCTGTATTAAATCTCGAAATTCAACATTCCAGGTGAGTTTTAGCTTCAAAAAATTTGCTTGTAGTCGCGTCTTTTCGAAGAGAGGTGCAAGGTCTTGCGATAGCCTTACTTTATCATTTCATTTCAGACACTGAAAAAAAATTCCGGCCGTGGATGCCGTACCTACGGCAGTTCGCGTCCCGGGCTCAGAGACCGAAAGCTCCGGGTGCTAAGCCCGGAGCTTTCGGTCGATTTTCGGTTTAACTTTCCAGCGTGTCTATTTGAGGGGAAATTATGCCCGATTGAGCTTTTTCCCGCTGTATTAAGATTTCCAGTTTCCTGCATGGGGTTTTAACGCACGTTGGTTACATTTCCAACTTAATGTTTTTACGACTCGTGTTTGCCGCAATCAGTTTGTAACTGTGAAATTAGTTACGTTCTCTCGTCGGAGAAACGACATGTTTAGATATAGTTACGTTCTGTCTCTAATGTGCTGGTTACACGCTCAAATTTCCATCAATTTCCGATCAAATGGTGACCGGTGCGCACCATCTACCATCAAATTTCTGCGGCCTGCAAAAATTTGATGTTAGATGATGGAGCTGTGGGGCTCATCCTTCATCTGATTTCCACACAACCGTGCTTATTTCATGCTTATTTCAATCAACACGCTGTTTTAATTAATTTTACTTATCAATCTAGATAACTCTCGACCGCCATCTTGGTCATCATTTTGATCGGAATTCGACGGAAATTTGAGCATGTAACCAGGCCATTGACCAACCCCACGATCGGATGTAACCTTCGAAAAGCTAATAAAACTTAAAATGCTTTTGGTCTCTCGTCTGTTGCAGGATAATTGATGTCAAACGTGATGCCGTCAATTGTCTCACCCTAGCCGTAGTGAAATTAACCTCAAACCAGTTCGACCACGTCCAGACGCGGGGATTCGCTCTGAGGGACTGGAACCGGATCTCAATAGACAACAACACCTTCCTCGACCTGGCCAGCAGCGCCTTCAAATCCTCCCCGTACGACGAACCCCTGACGAGCAGCTTCGAGCGCGTGCTCAACTTCACCGGGAACCACATCCACAGCTCGCAGCCGCACTCCTTCGACTTCGCCGTCCTCGACTTCTGGCACCTCCACGTGGCCGACAACCGGTTCCGCCGGGACTGCAGCTGCCACTTCGACGCTTTCCTCACCCCGATCCTCAGCGGGACCCCCCGCGCCGTCGACGCCTTCCGCAACTCCAGCTTCTGCGAGATCAGCCGGGCCCTGGCCGAGTGCCACCGGCATCCCGAGGGCTTCGTCGCCGTCCGGGACTTCGTCGGCGCCTGCTCCAACGACAGCCACCCCGAGTGCGTTCCTAGACAACCCCTAGTTCCTAACGACGACAGCACGTCTTTCCTCAACTTGCTGCTCCTCGACAACGTGGACAAGCAGCATCTAGTCCTGGTGGGTATTCTCATCTTCGTGTCTCTCCTCCTGTCTTCGATCGTGGTGATCTGGAGCGTGCAGTGGGTCAAGAACTCCAGGGTGCGGAGTAAGAGTGATCTCCTGAAGTCGTCCAAGTCTTTCAGCCGGTGTAGTCTCCTGTCTCGCTTCTTCTCCAGCGGCATGAACTCGGCGTCGTCGTCCTCGACGCATTCCATTTCCAGGATGTCCGTCCACGAGTATGCCGAGCTTAACCTGCAGAAACTCCACGAGGAAGAACTTGACTTAGGTACGTACTTGCCTTTCTTACTACAATACTTAAGTCAGCGGTGCCGTGGTAGCCAAGGGACAGGGTGCCTAGCATCAGGATTTGAGGTCAATCAGGATTTAACCCCGATTTCATCAGGATGTGAGAAAAAATCGGTCGTAAAATCAGGATTTAAGAAAAGTCGGCCGTCCGCTTATTTTCCGTTAATTATCCGTTATCTGTCCGATAATTTTGCTCCGCAAAAAATTAGGATCTGATCAGGATTCGGAAAAATTATGAAATCAGGATTTAGCAGTCAAAAATCAGGAAAAATCAGGATTTTCCAAAATGAAAAAAACTAGACACCCTCAGAGAGCAGTAACTGCAAAAATGAAGTTTTGAGAAAACGGACTCAGAAGCGTCTAACCGGAAAATCTGATTGAAAGGAGCCTCCGTTCTTTGTCAAATTGCCACTAATCATCCGAAAGACTCTCAGAAATAGTTTGGATGATTAAAAATCGACCGATTTTGTTTCAAATGTCTAATGCAAGGGTATTTTTTATTTTCATGCTAGACTATTGTTAGGAAAGACAGCTTTAAGTGCTATCTTCTGCACGCTTTAGTGGTTGCGTTTTGGACACACAAGGAACGCATTTTCAGGTTAGAAATTAGCAGAAGAGGGCGGCACTTTACTTGAAAGCACTGTTTTCATTGGCTTTCTGGAGGAATGTCACTTACTGCTGTTTTGTCTGAAACGACGTCATTTTTTGCGTTTTGGCGGCTTTCGCATATATCTCGTTTTTATACAAATGTTGATGGTGCGTCGACTTCTGATTGGTGCACGTGATCCTCAAATTGGATGATTTTCACTCAAATGTACACGCAGAAGAAGAATGAGCGAAAAATCGTATAGTTACGGAAATTCAACTATGCACGGAGAAAAAAACTTCGTGCATGGGATTCGCAGTTGAGGTCATATAGATCTCTTAAGTTTTCTGATTACGCATCCGAAAACTTGAGGTCGAGCTGCCGAAATTCAAATCGGACATCGAGGCACCTCGGTATGTACCGGAGCACTTCAAATGTGGGACCCGAACCCTTCGGTATACATCGAAGTACTTCAGATGTCTGACCCGAACTTCGGCAGCTCGACCATAAGTTTTTAGATACGTGATCCGAAAACTTCAGAGATCCATATGACCTCAACTTCGGGTTCCACGCTCGAAGTTTTTTTTTCCGTGTGCTGGGCCCAAAAATGACCCTTAACGATACCCTTCTTTAGGCCTTGTCCACACGAACGCGGTTCGCGGAACTCAGTTCGAGGAACTTGTTCCCGGAACAAGTTTTTTGCTGAGCTGAAACTTATTCCTCCAAAACCTGGAATTTCCCCCGTGCTCCGAGCTTCTAAATATGTTTCTTTTGATGTGAATTTGCTTGTTTTTGTTTTTCACGTCCTTTACATATGATCTTGACATTTATTTTTGTTACTTTGGCGGTCATAATAATCTATTATTTTGCAATAATTGTATAGTTTTATTGAAGTTCCGGTTCCAGTCCGGACGAACCCGAGTGGACAGCATGCCTCGTTTCAAGAAATAAGTTCCGGGAACTGAGCAAGTTCGAGGAATAAGTTCCGCGAACTGCGCTCGTGTGGACAAGGTCTTACAATTAAAAAGTTGTACCCGTTGCAATATTTATTGTCTTTTACAATTATCGCTAATTTGGGTGTTGTATCTGTGTTCAGGTATACCTATGGAAGACAAGGCTACGCAAACGTTACCGGAGGGATTCACGCAAGAGCTGTTGCAAAGCCTGAACGAGAAGCTGGAGGACCCGGACGCAACGATGGAAGCACGGGTAATGATCATGCATCTCTACGACCTCATCAAGGTGGAGGAAAGCTGCGACAACAACCTCATCGACTCGTCGCTCGACGTCGAGCAAGTCTACGAAACCATCGGGCCCCCAAGGAGACACCGCCCCAACGCCACTTTCATATCAAGGGTTAGTATCCGTAACTTATCTCTGCATAATCTAATACAGGATATCCGGAAGTTAACGTTCTGAACTTTCCGGATCGACTTTTCGGCTCAAAATATGACTTTTTTTCCTATACACATATGTCCGAAAACGCATGAGAAGTGAGCTAATTGAGCTATGCGTTTCCGAAGTTGCAATTTTTTCCCTTTCAAATAGGTGTAACTCGTCGTTATTTTGTCGTAAGTTGCTGAAACTTGCTGATGAGGAGGTATTTTTTTTTAGAGTTCTGCTCATTTCTCGTGTTTTCAATGACTTACGTCTTCGGAAAATGACGTCACGAGCGTTCCCGAATTTTAAAATTGCGATAACTTTTTTGGTAGACGATGTTTGGAAAAACGGATTACGGCACGTGAAAAAATTAAGCGGAGTAGGTACTGCACGAAATTTTCCAGGAATGGGTCATTTCGACGCAATATAGCTTTGAGCAAGTTCCAGATTTTTGAAGCTCCTTGGTGGGTAGGCAATGTTCACTGCAAGGACTGCAAAGAAGCATAGCGCATAGCTCACTTATGAAAAGTTTTCGGGTATATGTGTATAGGGAAAAAAAGTCATATTTTGAGCCGAAAGATCGATCCTGAAAGTTAAGTACGTTAACTTCCGGACAGCCTGTATAATAGTCCATGACATTTCCCGGGTTTTCCTAACTGCCGCAACGTAGGAAGTACAAAATACGAAAGTAAATATATAGCGAATTGTGTAAATTTTAAGGTAGGCACGCACCTATATACCTCAAAATTTGTGAAAACATATAATATAGTCCTCCGTGTATCGTATTTCTGCAGTGGCAAAGTATTGAAATTCCTTTTAAGGACCCATTTCCAAAGTTTTACAGCTCAATTTTCCTCGAAGTTGGCAAACATTGACTTTTTTATGATCGCAATGTAAATCATATGGGGCTTTTTAATGAATGGAGCTGTTTAAGGAACCACTATGAATTTGACCCATAGTTCAGGGTTGCCACAGTCAGGTAATACCAGGAAATGTCAGAGAATTTTAAAAAGTCAGGGAAAATCTGGAAATGTCAAGGAAAATGACGAAAGTGTCAGGAAAAAGATGTTAATTCACCTTTATTTGCTTTCTAGAATGGGTCCAATCTTCCGAACAACAAATTTTGCCTAACAACAATTTTAAACTACGTCTTGGCATTTATCTTAAATTTTCAGGGAATTTCACTCAAATCTTTCGAGGAAATGCCGGGGACTTTCATTTTCCCATTTTTTCGTCGCTCCTCTGACGCAAGGACGTAGCTCGCTTTCCATGTGAGCCCTGCTCTCCGTAAAACTCTATGCTTTCCGGGACTCGTGCAGAATTAGAGATACGCCCTTTCGTCAGAGGAGCGTCCCCCTCCCCCCATTTTAAAAGGCATTTCGTCAGACTCCGTCTCAATCTTCCAAGTACATTTGAAATAATCCGGAATTTTTGTTTTTTTAGGTAAGTGTAGGGACCCGGGTGCCTTCACCGGACAAGCTGGAGCCAGTGAAGCTGTGGAAGGCGATGCCGCAGGTAACCAAGCCGACGCTCTGCGAGTACAACGACCCGCACGACATGGAGCGGCATGTGTACCTGGAGCTCCCGTCCGAGTCGTCACCGATGACGTCACCAATGACGTCACCTTCGACGTCGACGTCCACGCCGCCGATGCCGCCGCTTCCGTCCTCCTTCCGCCCCTCGACGGCGGGCGCAGCGCCGGGGGTGCGCTTCCAGAACTACCCCCACGCCCAAGGCTCCGTGATCTGCGACTACAACGAGCCGCACGACTCCGCCGTCCACATCTACTCCGAGGTGCCGGCCTCCATGATCAACCGCCCGTTGCCAGGGAAACCGGAGGACCTCGAGGACGCCACCACTGCCTCCTCCGGCTACTCCTCCAGGTGAGCTCCTCCCAGGAGTAGGCCTCCAGGTGAGCTCCTCCCGGGAGTAGCCAGACTCTAGACTGACTGTGATAGTTGGGTGGGGGGCTTTCAAATCCCAAGTGCAACGAGATGAGTTCAGAGAACCAACATCCGGGTATCGAACACATTTTGCCCAATTAATTTGCCAATTTTTTACTGAAAACGGTAAAAAGCTAAGACTGTTTCAAATTCCTTGTTTTGACAAGGATAAGCACATTACATCCCTTCATTCCGAAAGGATGTATTATTCTTTTAAAATGAAACTGAGAGTCTCCCAACTGCCTTCAATTAGTAAAAAAGATATTAAAAAAATTTAACATTAAAATTTTATTTTAGCAGAACTTGTTCGATACCTCGATGCTTGCGTATTTTGGCTATAGATTCTAATGACTTTGTGAAGTAACTTCATATAGCCCGTTTCCTTTGATCTCGGCAATTCTATTCTCTCTCTCTTAGATGCAAAATTTTCGCAGAAGGCTTGAAGCAAACGAGTCTTAAAGCTTTAAATATTTCGAATTGACTGATGGAGTGATGGTTGGTGGTCGACTGAGGTTAGTAGAACTAACACACACCAACGCCACTTTTTCTGAACATGTGAGGAGAATAGCAAGTTTATTGCATTATGAATTATGAATTAAGATTCAGTTCAAAAGAATTCCCTGGTGTTTATGCTACCTCAATGCTTGGTTTACAACTAAGTGTAACGATAATGATTAATGAGAAAAATGGAGAGTGCTTCAGGTCAGTAGCTTTCGGTTTTCTAATATTGTAGCTGTGTCACTTATTTTTAAGATGGATATCTTCTAAGCCTCTCTACTGAAAAAAAATGTTTGTACCAATATCAGAGTTACTTCGATACATTAAAGTGTCACAGTGAAAGTGCATGAAATACACCAAAAATCTATGACGTTAGGATATTTTTATCGTAGGGCAATGAATAATCAACGCCCCTGGCAAAAACAGAGGGCTCTTGGCTTCGCATTTGTATTACCATGACATGCACCAAGATTGAATCAAGCTTTTTAAGAAGAAGCATATCATCTGCTGGTCAGGAATGTGTTTCAATTGTTATGGATCTTTCTTTTTTTATTGTTTCAAAGTTCAAGAACTTATGATTTTATAGCATTGAACTTAATTTGTTCCTTGATCTCTACTTAGTTTGCCTAACTCTGCACACAGCTCTGCCCGACAAACGCTTATTTCCGTCTTTTTCTTTCATGTAATCATCAGGGGCATTCAATTTAACGAAGAAAAAGCCATTTCTAGCACTTGGATTTATTATGCCCTTCTTCCTCACCAAATTGCTGAAAGACTCAATTTTTGTATTCAATTTTTGTTTAGTTTGTAAGGTCTATAATTTAACAGGGTTGAGCAACTTTGATTTATTTCTTTGTTTTTTTCTCTCTCCTTCCTTCATTCTTTCTTTCTTTCTTTCAGTTTTTCACTCATCAAAGAAGATGTTATCACGTATAATTTTCTGTTTAATACTACATTTGTTTCTCATGTTATCTTTTTTTTCTTTCTTCCTTTCTTCTCTTTTTTTTTCGAGATTCTGAAGCAATTGATCAGTAGCAGAGTCATCAAACTCACAAAGTGTTTTTCTTTCTTTTAAATTCCAAGACATTCATTTCTTGTTTTGTTTTGTATTTGTTAACAGTTATGAAGTGTAAAATTTGCTGAGACTGAGTTAATTCAGCTCTTAAGTCACCTTTTTATTTTATTGTTTGATTCAAATTGTGATTGAATATATTGTAGCTATAATATTTTTTTGTAATTATTGTAATTTCCTCATGTTCTTTTGCTGTAAGTTCTGCATTTGTATTAGTCAGACTCTTGATTCGATTACAGTCGTCTTTTTCCGTAACCAACTTTGCTTTACCTAAACAAGTGACTGGAAATCGTTGCCAAAATATGATCAATCATTCATTATTTTCTGTTTTGATTAATTCGAAGACAAAATTTTCCGTACATGTTTAATGAAAAGACAAGAGTCACTTAATCTAGTCTTTGTATTTATGTTAAGATAAGAAAAAAAATCTTAGTATAAAGACTCAAGAAACACAATTTCGAAACCAATATGCAAATTTAAAGCAAATTAATTACTTCCTAGTTCAATTTGAATTACTTATTGTGGTCCGATTCAAATAATTCATGTAATTTTTCTGCCAGTGCACTTACGAGAAATTTAATCAAACATAGGATTCATTATCTTCTTATCCTCACACATAAAGACTTTTTTTTTTTTTCATTTTGTTCTATCAGCAGCCCCACATTTGAATTTTTGAAGTTCTTTTTTCATAGTTGTTTACTCTTACTTTTTCTGTCTTAGCTAAAAACTAGTTATTTAAAAATTTAAATTATAATTACTATTTTTCTCATTATTTTTGTAAATTCAATGTTCTACAGTTTGTAATATTATGCAGAAAAATGTTGACGCATTACAAAAAGGGTAAAGTTTAATTTTGAATAAAATCATGTAATTTTTTGTTATACTTTGGCCTTACTTTTTACTATTTTCATTTACCTTACTTTTTTTATCTAAATTCCTTTCAATTAAGCATTGGTTATAAAACGTAACTTTGGGAAAAATTATGACGAATTCAGCTTTTTGATTCGTAACGGTGGATTTAAACATATATTAAAAGGTATTTTTCGTCAATGATCGAGCTTCTAGTCTGAAAGAATGTATAAATAAGGAACCAATGGATAAAAATTAAATATTTTTTTTAAAAAAAGGTACAGATCTGTGAATGCATGTAGTATTTGATTCAACCAAAAATAATCAGGGCTATTCAAATTCTCGCTCGACTAGCACCAGGTATCGTCCCTGTAATTTTTGAATAAATTGAGATAGATATTTGAAATTATGTGAGTACTCATGCGTCAAAAGTAAAGATTTTAAGGAGCCTCAAAAATTCTAAAGAGACAACCCTGAAAAGAAATAAGAGACCTAGGGGTTATAAGAGTGGTGGGGGACTTTTAGGTCACCCTGTACTTAATTGATTTTATTAGTCTCTCTTTAACACATTGCACCGAATTCGATTTCACTAGACTTTTCTGGAGCAACTGCATGGGGTTTAATTTCAAGATCCCAAAGTAGTACATGCAAAATGGCATAGGTACAGCAAACTTTTTCGAGACTTATCTTCAAAAATTCTCTCAACGCCTGCACTTGCCGATACTTAAAGCTGCTAGTTGTCTGGCCAAGAGAGCATGGATAGAAATAATCTGCCGTGCTAAGTGAGAACGCCGTACGAACATTTGAGAGTTGCCAAATTTCCCCGGATAAAACATGCATTTTTTAAGAAATCATGCGTATTTCTCCTTGAAATCTTCAGATATTTTAGATTACAACGCGAACAAAATTGTCTGGAAAAATTGAGAAAAAAAATATTCTCAATTCTCTTAGTAAAGTCGATATTTTTTGGAAGAAATATGGCAACGGCCGGTGGCTCATACGGCGTTCTTCCTTAGGACGGGAGTAACAGGAGGCTGCTCCGAGCTGCAGGATTTCTTGATGAGCTTAAATTGTCTTATCCTGTTCCGCAATTGAGAGCTCTCCAGTAGGTTGTAGGTAGCCTTTACCGGTCTACCGCTGCAACAGAGAGGCTCAAGTTCCCGCTCTTAACCTCCTCCCTCGTAAAAGAGAGCTTGCTGTATGTGTGTATCCGGTATGCCAGCACAAAATGCCTACATGGGCTTACAAGGGGAGTCTACGAAGTGACATCCTGGGATTGGGTTCATTTTGCTTGTACATGAAGAAGAGACAAATCTAAGGTTGACGTATTTTTTTTTAGCCGCCACCTCCCAACCGTTCTCGAGATATCGATTTTTAAAGTTACGATTTTTGCACTTTTCCGCGCGGAGTTCCGGCGAGTCAACTGAGCGCCGGCAAGCTGCACGAAGCGCGTTTCCTATCAGTGCTGCAGACCGGCCATTTTTATCAATAGTTCCGTGGCCGAGTGGTAGAGTGTTCGCCTACCGTTCCGTTAATCGCGGGTTCGAATCCCGCTTTGAGCCGTAACTTATAGGGTACGCCGCAATGCGTTTTTACAAGTTTTCTTTATTTTTATCACACACCAAGGGGTCCGCCCCCTGGCCGCTGCGCGGCCCAACCCCCGGGGCGAAAAGGCGCGCTTCGCGGCAAGCGAAATCATCGAAATCGACCGTTGACGGTTACTGGGTAAATAATTTTAATTGAATGATAAAATGATGTTTCAAATAAAAATTTCCCACCACACTATATTCTTAATGACTTTTTCCTTACTCTGAATTTGCAACCGTCAACGGTCGATTTCGATGATTTCGCTCGCCGCGAAGCGCGCCTTTTCGCCCCGGGGGTTGGGCCGCGTAGCGGCCAGGGGGCGGACCCCTTGGTGTGTGATAAAAATAAAGAAAACTTGTAAAAACGCATTGCGGCGTACCCTATAAGTTACGGCTCAAAGCGGGATTCGAACCCGCGATCTACGGAACGGTAGGCGAACACTCTACCACTCGGCCACGGAACTCTGGATAAGAATGGCCGGTCTGCAGCGCTGATAGGAAACGCGCTTCGTGCAGCTTGCCGGCGCTCAGTTGACTCGCCGGAACTCCGCGCGGAAACGTGCAAAGATCGTAACTTTAAAAATCGATATCTCGAGAACGGTTGGGAGGTGGCGGCTAAAAAAAAATACGTCAACCTTAGATTTGTCTCTTCTTCATGTACAAGCAAAATGAACCCAATCCCAGGATGTCACTTCGTAGACTCCCCTTGTTAGATACGTCTCTTGGGAAAAGATAGAATTCATACTAATTTACAAAAAAACATGGTGGCAACCACCAAGCGGAGCGTCAGGAGAAATCTGAAAAGTCAAGGGATTTTAAAACCATCCCTGAAAAGTCAGGGAATTTTGCCGGAGGTTAGAATTTTGCCATTTGTAGAAAAGACCGCCCTTTCATATTAAAATTGGAAAGATTCGCTAAAAACATATATGTCTCTAGTCTAGTCTAGTCTAGTCTAGTCTCTAATGGCACGGGGGATTCATAAGAAATAATGCCGCTCCTCTGACGTAAAGACGCGTACCTCAAGATCCACGTGAGCCCTGTTCTTCGGATAGCTCTATTTCTTCCAGGGTTCATGTGGAAAAAGAGATACGCCCTTACGTCAGCTGCAAGTTGACAACACTGTTATCCTCCATTTAAATCCATTAAAAATATCGATTTTCGCTGCGACCAGGGCTGGATTAAGGAGGTGGTCACATGGGCCGCGGCCCATGGCGGCAAAATGTAGGGGGCAGCAAATTTTGCAATCTTGTTGAATGTAGGTATCAAAAAAAGAGAGAGAAAAATCGGATTCAGAAAATAAATTACAAACGAGAAAAGGCGATAAAATCTCTCATTTCTTGAGAGTGAAAGTATAGTAATTTCTAATTTTGTCGTCTTTCGGCGATACAAGAGACAACACCTCTAATTAGTCGAGTTAAGCGAGAAACCAAACACGCAATTTGACCTGGAACGGAGCGGTGCGGCGGTCGGTATGAAACGCATAGCGCCTACAAGACTGCATGAATACTTCACGCATTGCGCCAACACACTGCGGTCGGGCAGCGGCGGAAGTTAAAATTATTAACCACGTTTATGTTTGTTCTTTCATAATTTTTTCGTTCGTTTTTTATAAATGGAAAGCCTTGTCCAAACAGTAATGGATTTACGGAACTGAACTTTTGTTAATGTTGACAGGGCTTTCACAAAAAATGTAGCCAACACGAGTAAACGCGTCTCATATACCCCTCCTTCACCGGCACGTTCACTTGATGGTTTTTATAGATCGTATTCGACAGATTACACAGGTGAGATTATATTGATATCGATTGGTTCAATATGTAACCACAGCCTCAAAAGTCAATTTAGATTTCTGAGGTAATGGGTCTTATGTGATCGAATTATTATTCTCTCGAGCACAAAATGGCAATCAAAAGTGAAATTGTTAGGAATTTTATCATTTTCAGCTTTTCCGAATTAAACCTAACATTTTTGTTTGAGGCTATGTTCTACTGTTTTTAACCAAATGATACATCGAACCACTGTCGAATACGATCTTTTGATGTTTCAAAACGAATGAGAAGGGGGCGGAAAAATACAGGCGGCCCATGGGCGGCAAGTAGGTAAATCCGGCCCTGGCTGCGACAAGCTTCATCACCAAGAATCGATTTTTTTACGTACATTTAAATGGAGGAAAAACAACGTTGCCAACCAGTAGCGTGGCGTGATTGCGATGCATCGATTGATCTGTCATTTAAACCTAAAAGGATCGATAAATGGGGTACACGCAACGAACACCTTGGTGATCGATTCTTCACCACGGCTTTAAACGGGGAAAAATGATAATCGATAATTCGCGCCTCGGCACTGAAAAAAAATCTCGGTGTATTTACTAAGAAAATGGTAAAATTACCAAGAATTCAAGGTTCTATTTGATCCTAATTTTTTCTTGGTAAAATTACCATTTATGGTATCGGTAATTTTACTAGACCTTGGTAACAACGCCAATATTTTTTATCGACTGTAGTATAATTACCGAGATAAAACGGCAAAGTTACCGGGAATTGATTACCAATAAAAGTGGTATTCTTACCTGAAAAAAACAGTAAAAATACCAGTTTTTAGGTAAACTTACCAGTCTGTATTGGTAAAATTACCAATAATTGGTAAAAAATTGAGATGGTAAAGGTACCAACGGACCTTGGTAAAAACGCCGAGAATTTTTCGACAGTGGGCACTGATGTAGTGTAGAGTCCCTTTATACTGAGAGTCAAGACAATTTGAATCCATTTCTGATTGGTTCCCGTATTTTAGGCCTCCACAGTGTCACAAACGGGAAATAAAGATTACATTTTCACCGATTGCAAAGATTATAATCTGGAATGGACCAGGGAATTACGGGTTCGGCAAGGAACAAACGGAATGAGAGGAGGAACGGAGAAAGGCATTTGAGAATGGGCCGATCAAAGATTACGAAAAACGTTCAATTTCTGTAATCTTTATTCCCGTTTGTGACATCCATGAGCCGAATTGTCTTGACTCTCAGTATAGAGGGACTCTAATGTAGTGGCGGGCGGTCAGGAACACGGACCATGGACCACACCCGACCGGAAAAGCCGGCCTATTTCCGGACTCGGAATAAAGCCATTTTTTACGCCTGTGATTACACCCAGTGACGTCATCTATAAACACATTCCAGTGAAATATGCATCGGCAGGAGTGAGGAGCCCCGCTCGAGAAGAATGCGTCAAATTAGGCGGTTGAAAAGGCAGATATTGATGACGTAGTCAAATGTACAGAGAAATGCGTATTTGAACGGCGAGGGATAGTATGGGTATACGAATGATTAATTAGTAGCGATGTGACAACGGTGTGGAGCACGGCGGAGCTAATCCAAACAAACACGCGCTTCCACCTACTCCACTTGA